ATACACCATCTGTCACATAAAGTAACCTCTGTATGGAAGTATTTCAAGTGAAATGAAACTAGATCTGAGAAAATGAATAGGAAATATGGGTGTTCAAGCCCACACAACGTCCGCATACAAAAGCATCATTCACAGACTGCAGCCAGGGAAGGTAACTGCTCTTCAGGAAAAAGAAAAAATATCCACAACATAAAGAGCCCTCTGGGAGTTATAAATAAAACTTGTATATTGAAGTTGATATTCCAGTCTTTATAATAGTTGTTGTTTTAACATAAAACTGCACAATAGTCTATATGCACTTTGTCCACCGCAGAGAATCAAACCCTGGATTTTAACGTATTACATTTATAACCTTACCGCTGACCCACTGGGGCGTTCATAATAGTAACAAATCTCGTATGAACAACATAATGAAACCCAGTTCTATGCCAGTAGATACTGCTTAAATTTGAAGAATAAAAATGGATCTTTACTTACAAATTCTAATACAGTAGTCATATACCCATCGTGCTGTGGTGTGGATGCCTTTTTATAATACTGTTACGACAGCGGAAGTCATGCGATGCGCTGGGAGCATGCGCGCTGGAGTTTCTAGAAGGATTGTGACTTATCGGGGAACCTCACGAATATCTCAGTGTTTGCTAGGCGCCCTCTTTTTGATAGTGTATAAGCGAAAGATAGATTGAAGATAGAGATAACTGAGTCAAGCGAACAGTAGGCACCGTAAGTAAACTGTGTGAATCGCTGTGAATTATAGCATGTATTTATAAAAGTAGTTAAGTTAAAGTGACTGTGGAAATTCTGTGTATTGCAAAGTTGTACCGAGAAAGAATAAACTAATTTTAATTAAGAAAGGACTTGTATTGCTGAAGTTTCTCGGAAAGAATTTCTACGGAAAATTAACAAACAAACAGATACGCAATGATACTTAAAAATCCCTAAGGGACTAGATAAGTAATACAGTATTAAAAAATATAATAGGCCTAATACTAATATCTTAATTTTAACATACTTTTCTTTCCCTTGACAAATATGATATGCTGATAAAACGTGTGCTCTGTTGTATGAATGGTCATTTGTCAAGGTTGCCTTGATGAATGAAAATGTATTATCAGAACACATACAAACATATTAATATGAGTGGTATCCGAAATAAGAAACTAAATATAGATTTTGCATTAAAACATATTTGATATTTGTAACGAATTTGTTATATATTTATTTTAATATAAACGTTTGTTTCGATTAAATTCATGTTTAGAAACATACATAGCTTATACTGTTAAATATGTATTGCGAAACTCCCGCCTATTCTCTAAAGTTGTAGAAGATTCTCGACAGTAGGAATCAACAAAATATTGTTACGACATCGAGGTCACGTGACTAGTATCAC